AACATTATTTTGTGTATTTGGTGTAATGAAATGTGTTTATGCGGTTTAAGGTTAAAAACACATTATTTTCCACATACTGTACATTATTGTTTCTCCTCTATGCCCCGCCTTTCTGAAACGCGTCGATTTTTACAAAGCTCATCGTTCTGAAAAGCGAGGTGTGCTCTGATTGGCCAGCTATCCAGTGTGTTGTGATTGGCCGAATACCTCAAGCGTGTCACGGAAATGTTACGCCCCTTACCATATTGTGATGCCGTGTCCTGGCGCGACGATTAGACAAAACCAGTAAAACCCATTATAAACGAGGCATTTGTTGCATCCAGTGGGGACATAATTACTGATTACAATGACTTGTACTGTCTTTTTACGCGTTGCGTTGCATCACGCCGCTTAAACATAAAACCATGTCTGCATTTGTGATCGGAGAAACGACAAACAACAAGCGCAACTCTATATTGCTCAAAACTAGCGTTTGAATCGTGCAAATCTTCCCACACAGTGACGTAGACATGTGGGGGCGTGTTTAAATGAGGCGTTTTAGGAGGGCGAGGACGAGTCTTTGAGACTTTCGTTTGAGACTTTAGTCTTTGCAACTTTAGGGATCTTATCAATGCACAAACAGCTTGTAACACTCCAAAGAGAAAGGAAAACTTGAAATCGCATCATATGACCCCTTTAAAGCTACTTTTACACAATCTGTATGTTATGAATAAAGGTGACTTGACTTGACAGATTACTGCAATTTTATCAAACAGTGTGTAAGGTTTAGGAGTGAGACAAAGAGTAATTTCATAATACTATATAGCATAAATCAAATAGTAATACTCTCTAAAGTTAGTGCTGTTGTTTTCCCATTAACAATGATGTCACATCCTGGTCTGGAGGATGTGGTCACTAAGGACCTGGCTTTTGTTATAAAGAATAATTGGAATAACAGGGTGGAAAGTGATATTGAGGACACTGGGGGCAAAAACCTATGAAATGATTACCAATTAAAATAGTATTCCAAGAAATTTTGATTAGAGATAAGAGGATTTTTTTTGTCAAAAGATGTGGTAAAAATGGCAACATCGACTGAAATCAAACATTTTTTTTTTTAATTCACCCCCACAGCCCATATCCTCCACTGATGATTGTCCTGAATTATAAAAGAAAACAAACTGATATGATTTCATTAAAAACCGCAAGTAACTGTAACCTTAAAACTGTAAGACATTTTCTTGAATACATAAAGACATGTTATCTAATACATAAAGATATGATGGTTACATGAAAACAAAGTGACAACCAAATCAGTCCCAGTGGCCCTCAGTTTGGGTTTTAAAATCTAAAGCCCCCAGAACGTTATATTCCAGGCCATTTCATCTATCTTCTGAAACGGGTGAGAGGCCAAGAACGTTATATTCTAGGCCATTTCATCTATCTTCTGAAACGGGGGAGAGGCCAACTAAGTTCTATTAGAGAAAAGGGAGTCAGAGTTGGATTTTAGAGGGGCCACAGGGACACCGCAGCCCAAATTCTGACAAAACCAATACAGACTAGTGGCAAAGGAGGAGGAAAGCCAAAAAAAAAACACACACACCAGAAACCACCCGAGAAAAGAGTGGGAGGATGAGAACAAGTGAGAGAACCAGAAATCAGAGGAAAAAGATGAAGAAAGCGATAGATTCCTTAAGAGAGACGGATGGATGGCGTACAGAAGACGGGTAATAGGAGACTTTGAGACTAAAAGAAAACAAAAGGAAATAGAGAGATGTTTTATCAGCGATTATACGGGACGCTTTCTGCACGCGATCCAAAATACACCATTATGTTACAGCATGCATGGGAAAACTCAATAAAACACTTTTTGTTTTTATTATTGTCCTCGCCCCTGCCCTAAAGATACGAATAATCTGACAAAAACCCACAGCAGCGGGAGAGGATGAGTTAGCAACTCATACCATTGCCATAACAAAAGTCCAGAGTGTTAGAATCTGGGATATTCCATCCGTGTTTGTTCGGAACGGGGGAGAGGTTGACTCGATGCCATTAGAGACGAGGGAGTCAGAGTAGGAGTTTTGGGGGGGCTCTAGAGAGAATATGTGGTGATCTAACAAACCAAAACATGAGTCTCATGACTCTCACTATGGTGTTCTGGTCAACTGAAGCGAATCACATAAATATAAAACAAACATAGCAACCGAATGCATTGCCGCTTGCTTCTAATCACTCCCACTCATTAGCTTGCAATCATTAAACTACAATGCATGTGATGACTGTTCAGTGGCTGAACACTAAATCAACACTGACATTTAATTTGTAATGTGTGTGCATAATGGCTTTGTTTGGAACAGATCTGCTTTGAATACTGTGCAGTATATGGGCCATTGTCAGGAAACTAAACTTGTGTGCCAAGTATCTCCATAACTTACTAGGATAGAGAATGTAATCATTTTTGTTTTGACTGTAGAGCAAAATAAGTATTAAGATAAAAGTTTTTTTTTTAATTTAAAATGTTATTTTCCTTAAATATCAACTAATTTGAACAATAACATTAATCACTGTTACATTAAAAAACCCTCCAAATTCAACTGAATGTTTTTCCTTTTTTTCATTAATTTATTCTAAAAAAAAACAAAAACATGTTCAACCCTGTTACATTGTGACAGTTTAAAAATGTTCTTGGCTTTTGCTTTGTAAAGCTATCACATTTTTAATTTGGGGTAATAATTTAAGAATCAGCTAATAAACTCATTTTTGTTGACCACTAATCTGCATTTTTAAAAGTATTTTTTAACATTTAAAAAAAAAAAAAAACTGTTCAACCTTGTTATGTTGTGATATTTTAGTTTTAAAATGTTCTTGACACTGTATTTGAAAGTTTGGCATCATTTTTGACCTCATGGTTTAAACAGAGGTAGGTTTCTTTTACATCTGTATTCTTGTACATCTGTGGTTCATTTTGGTTAGGCTTATATTGGACCTGACGAGCTCAAACATTCAACTCTGTTGTGGAAAAAAATTCATAGTGATTAACTTTTTGCTAGAAAAATATTGTTCTTATTGCACAAAGCACAAGAATAATGACTTCATTGAACATTTTGCACATCAAAATCAACTCTGCAATATTTTGAATGTAACAGGGTTGATGCAAACCATGTTTAAAAAAAAAAAGAATTTCAATTTTATTTCATTGTAATTACAAGGAACACTGACACTGAAGCAGAGTTTACTCTATTCTGATTATCTGTTCAAATTATAGTTCCTGAGAAAGGGTTGGAAAAAAATGAGAGCTTTAAGGTTAAATTTAACAACAATTACTGATAATACCGTAACAACTGGTATTTTGGGTAATAATTTAAGAATCGGCTATTTAAAGCCACTTATTTGTTGACCACTAATCTGAATTTTTTAAATTATTTTACTTTTTTATAATTTTATTCTAAAAACCCTGTTTAACCCTGTTATGTTGTGATATTTTATTTTAGAAATGTTCTTGACACTATATTTAAGAGATATTGGTATAATTTTTTGACCTCATGGTTTAAACAGAGATAAGTATTTTTTACATCTTTATTCTCATACATCTGTGGTTCATTTTGGTTAGGCTTATATTGGACCTGTCGAGCTAAAAAAATATGTAGTGATCAACCCTGCAATATTTTGAATATAACAAAGTTGACAAAGCATGTTTTGAAAGAAAAATAGCGTTTTGTTTCAAATCATAATTACAAGGAACACTGAAACTGAATCCGAATTTACTCTATTCTGATTATCTATTCAAATTATATTTATTAATTATTTTTTTTTTCATTTAATTTGATCATTTTATTCTAAAAAAAACTGTTCAACCCTGTTATCTTGTGTCATTTAAGTTCAGAAATGTTCTTCACATTATATTCAAGAGATTGGCATAATTTTTTTGACTGTATGGTTCTTTTTTTAAACTCTGTATTCTCATACATCTGTGTTTCATTTTAGTTAGGCTTATATTGGACCTGTCAAGCTCAAAAGTTCAACTCTGTTGTGGACAAAAAAAAAAATCAGTGATCAACTTCTTGCTGGAAAAATATTGTTCTTCTTGCACAAAGCACAAAAATAATGACTTTATTCAATATTTTGCACAAATCTTCAACCCCACAATATTTTTAATGTAACAGGGTTGACACAAAACATGTTTTGAAAGAGAACTAGCATTTTGTTTTAAATTAAAAGTTCACGGAACCCTGAAACGGAGTCAGAATTAACTAATTTATCTATTTAAGTTATAGGCCAATGTCTATCAATTTCAAAGTTCCTGTGACAGGGTTGAAAAATTGACAGCTTTAAGGTTGGAGTACGTAACAATAAACAACTATGTGCAATTTGTAAAGCTATTATCACATATTTGGGGTAATAATTTAAGAATCAGCTACTGAAAACACTTTATTTGTTGACTACTAATCAGAATTAAAAAAAAAAAATTTTAAATGTCAAAAAGACATTTTGAAATCTAACTTGACATTTTGAAATCAAATGAATCAAGATGATGTTAAAAACTGATTGCTTCCAGTTTCATTTCAGTTTGACGTCTAAGTGAGCTGTGCTTCAATACATCAATACATTATTGAAAATTACTTTTTGCAGAAATTTTGCTAATGTTGTCTGGCAGATTGTCATTTGTTACTCGAGACACTATTTCAAAACAAAGGCAATTTAATTTATAAAAACTTATATATATATATATATATATATATATATACATATGCTTGTTTGTTTTTTGCTGAGACTATTGTACCACAATATGTTTTAGAATTTTTTTGTGAAATTTTGTATTTAAATGAAATTTTGTATTTAAAAAAAAGTGTCGTTTTTCAATTTTATTCTTGAGCAAAAAATCGGACTGGAATAATGACTACTGGAAATTCAGCTTTGCATCAAGATTGTCATTTGTTACTCGAGACACTATTTCAAAACAAAGGCAATTTATTCAGTTTTAACAAATACTTCATACACAAATATATGTATATATATATATATATATATATATATATATGAAAAAGTACATATTTTATATACTACATTAACACAGTTCACTGTCGTCATTTTCCTGTGTATTCGTAAACTGCCCTACAAAAGCGCCACAAATCTTTCAGTAGTTTATTTTTTTCTGTACAATAAACAAAAAATATTTAGACTAACCATTATGAAAACAAATTGATAATTGATGAATGAAGACAGGCAGCCCTCAAATAAACCCCCAGATCTTCACCAATACAAACACACACGCACACAAAATTCACAAAAGGATTGCAAAACGGAAAAATCTCGGATTATGGTTTATAGCATATTTTAAACGGCTGCTTTTTTGAAATATCATATAAGCAAAAGTCTACAAAGTGTGATGCTCATGTACTAAAAATGACACTTGTGACCGGTTTAAACCCAGTAACTCAACCGTCTGCTTGAATTTTCAGTTAAACATGCTTGTTCCTTGCGTATAAAGGTACTTCAGATAGACCGGAGAGGAAAAAGCCTTCTGTTCTTTTCTGTTTTGTTCAGTGTCGGAGAGATTGAATAAGCCAGCGATGAAGCCAGCATTGCTTATACATTACCAAGCAGACTGGACGCCGTGACTGTTTTTGGTGGGATGGCCAGTAGTTTCCATACGAGCTGACATGTTACAACAAATTGCATTTGTTTTACTTGGAATTAGTTGAAAATTGTTGACTGACGGCTGTGGTTTTGGTAGATAATTTGAGTTTGAGTGGCCACGCTCCTCGGGTTCGCCCGCTCCTTGACGCTTTAGCCGAATATCTTTGTTTATGCACACGTGAGAAGTTTGCACGAGCGACTCAAGTGCCTGGCATCTGAATCTGAACCACCTCTCCGTTCTCGGCTTGCTGGAGCTGAATGGCCTCCTTCACGTCCATCTCCGCCTGCAGCGCTGGAGTCAGAGCTTCAGCCTGAGAACCAAAAACAGTGAATGTGTCATTTTTGTGTCATTAGAAAACCAAATACAACTGCAAAAATGATTGCTTCAAACAGGTTTTCTGAACATTTCCTCCATCTGCCATCTCCATCTGTTCCACCTCAAATTCACACCACTGGATGAAATATTAGAGCTAATTTTACCATGTCGACCTGATCCTTGAAAACCATAAACAAACTATGCAAGGACAAAAGTTCACATGCAGGATAAACATGGTCTGTGCTAACTGCAATGTATTCCGTGCAGTGAATTATGAATTGTATTAATTGTGAGATAAAAAAAATAAATAAAAAAAGTCACATGAAATAAAGTTGCCTAACCCTAACTGGGAAAAAAATATTAATTTAATTTATAAAAACCATCAAAGGAATAAATTACATTTTGAAATATATTACAATAGAAAAGAGTTATTTTACATTGTAATGTTTTTGACTGTATTTTGTAATCAAATAAATGCAGTCTTGTTAAACAAAACAATCTTCTTTCAAAAACATTAATAAATGTGATAATAAATGTGGTTTCTTATCAATTGGTCCATATGGGAAAAATACAAAATAAATAAATAAGAATTACAAAATTAAAAAGTAAATGAAAAAACTAAAACATTATTTTAGGTATTTTAATTTTACTTTTAATTCATGTGAATTTTCTGCAATCTTGTTGTGTGTGTGTGTGTGTGTATATATATATATATATATATATATACATACATACACACATATGTTTTAACATCCACGTAAATTTATTTAAATACATTTTAATTTAAATAAATGTATTTAATTTTTCCCTGATGTCCAGTAATGTTCTCAAGTTTTATTTATTTAGTTTTTGTTTTATTTTACAATTCCCCCCCCCCCCCCCCCCCCCCCAGTATAGAGTTGATATTTGCAGCCAGTGTAAAATACCTGATATATAGGACGTTGACCAAACAGCTGAATACTGCATTAACTCATGAAGTTCATAGTGACAGTGTATCTTGGATGGAAACACCCAAATGGATTCTTGGCATTAAAGAAACAACATTGAATGGAAATGTCTGTCTGCAACACGTTCGGAAATGTCTGTTTGATTAAGATACCATATATAATTGAATCACTGTCAGTCAGCTGATGCACATCTATCGCCGCACGGTATATACCGTCATTCGCCCAGGCTTAATACGTCGCGCTTTACCATATTGATGGAGGCAGTGAAAGCAGACAAATACAACGCTGACAGGTGTACAGATTGATACAACGAAAACAAAGACCAAGACAACAACAAGAGATGGAAAACCAGGAGGAAAGTAAAGGGTCAGATGAAGGCTACACTTTATCTCAGTCGTCGAAATGAAAAACTATCTCAAAAAAAAAAAAAAAAAGAAGGGCAGAGGGAGTGATGCAGGGGGAGACAACGCAGGATGAGTCACTTCAGAGTATGAGCAGTGAGTAATTTCTTCCTCAACACACGCCAGAGGAACAGACCGCACACCTGCACGGTGCAAAGCTCAGACTGTACTCAAGGGCCTGGCCCCCAAGTGCCAAGACTCTTAAAACACAGCCCGCCTGATGCGAGACACTCGCGGCCTGTGCTTTTCATCTGAGGTGTTAAGTGTAAACTCCTCAGGGGCCGATTTCCTGTGGCTCCACAAGAGGGCACTCATTAGAGCCAATGATTCAATAGCTCAAAAGCATCAGTTTCAAACAGCCCTGAGTAAGTGAGCTGACACTTCTGTCGGACTGCACAGAGAACAGAGCTTCCTGGCAAACATCTCCTTACTTTCGACCATTTTTTATCTGTGGCGATCCAATGTGCAATATGGAAGCTATTAAACGAAAAAAATGAAGGGGTGTGTTCATGAAAAATGGCTGTAAACACTACCACATGTTTCGTGCAGCAGATGAGAGCGATTGAAATAATCCTGAAACTCACATAGGAAGAAGCGTCGTGACCACAGGATGGAGGTTGATGCCAACGGAGGATCTGAGCATCATATGTGAGACGCAAGAAGACGGCTGTCTGAAATCATTCAGCTTGAAATTAAACGATTCAAGTGAATAAGTTGACCAATTATTAAGCTTTACTATAATAAATAACACCTAAAGTCAGACCATTCTGTTTTTGTTTTAAATCCTGAAATTAATCTAATCAAATAAAAAACAACTGCCCGTGTAGATCGTGATTAAAATGCAGTGGTTGCCTCTTAATTTCAAATGGCTAGTTATTTTTGTTTAAAGCCAGATTGTTTGTTATAAAGCAAAGAGTCAATAAATAAATTTGCTTAAAAATCAGTATCAGTATCAGAATCCAATTTGCTAGTTAAAAAAAAAAAAGAAAGAAAGAAAAGAAAAATCTGAATTCTGAATCAGCTATGATCGGCGCATCACTAATTAAAATACTAAGTAAAAGGCCTCAAATTTGAAGTACAATCTGGGATGTCTTTTTCTATCAATTCTTCAATAGGTAGATCTTGTCTTTCATAAAGGCCGAGGTCAGGGATCTCGTGCCTAAAGAGGTTGGTGACCACTGGTTTAAAGCATTGGATGTCATTTCCTGGCTTCTTAGCTCCCCAAGTAGGTTGCAATGGGTCAATAAAGTAAAAATTTAATTATTTTTATTTTAATTTATTTAATTTCTTACCTGATGTCCACTATTAGTTTTTTATTTATTTCTCTTTTTGTGATCATGATATTTAATTTTTGTCCCTGATGTCCACTTAATATGCACTTAAAACATTTATTTAAATTCACTTGAATTTTCCCTTAGATCCACTAATGTTCTTTTGATGTTCGTTTGTTTTAATGTTTTTGTAATTATTATATTTTATTTTTGTCCATGATGTCCACCTAAAATTCACTAAAAACAATTATAAACTTTACTAAAATATTAATCTTTCCAATTATTATTACTCATTTAATTTTTCCAATTATTACTATTAGTATTTTTTATTTATTTATATATTTTTTGTAATCATTAGATTACATTTTTGGCCCTAATATCTACCTAAAATTCACGTACTTACCTACTTATTTATTTTTTATTTACTTGAATTTTTCCCTGAGGTCCACTAATGTTCTAAAGTTTTTATTTATTTTTTTGTAAATCATTATATTTTATGTTTGTCCCCAGTGTCTACTTAAAATCCAAATATATGGTATGTAAGTATGTATTTATTATTTTATTTGTTTTTCTCACTGAGGTTCATTTCTACTCTTAATAAATGTTATTAAAATATATAATTTAATTTCTTTTTCATTGCTGTTTTTTGACACGCTCTCCAACTAAATATGACTATGAATATGACAGATAACTGTCCAAGTTTTAAATAAAAAACGCTGCACAACACAACAATTACAGCCACTCAGATTATATTTGATCTTTAATACACAGCTCTGTGGAGCAGGAATTTGGACCAATAGGATCTCACTGTGGGTGTGGCTATGAAATTTTACTGTGGGTGTGGCTACAATAAAAAAAATGGATGAAAAATCGAATCACAGCTGTGACTAGTTGAGACTGGTTAGGGTTTCAAATCAAATTAATTTATTTCTGTATGCATGTATGTAGACACTCTACCTCATTTTTTAATGAAAATATATGAAATACATAATGTCCTTAGGCAGGCTGTGATATAGATACGTTTTTTAAGAGAAAATGTTATTTTAAATTTTGATTTAAAAAAATAAAGCGAGATATTAAACATGCAAGAATTGATTTACATGTAAACAAATTTCCCACCAAATAATTTCTCCAAAAACAGCAGGTAGTTTTTCAGTTCTCTAACTTCAGCACAGCTCCACTGAGTGAGTTCATGCCATAATCCATATTAATTTCCTCTGACAGCTGTTTATTTTATTCCCGTGTCACACTGACAGGTGGTTTGTCACAAAGCGGCAGTAATCTATAATCGATTCGCAGAGATTGCGTCAAATGTTGTGCATGCTGTGCTCTGTTCAAGCATCAATGCCCATTAACAACTTTCCAACAGCTTTGATGTGTACAGTATAATTGCAGAGCCAATTTGGAAGGAGTCCAGACCACCAAGGAAAGCAACAAGTGAGGCTAGAGGTAAATCTAAGACCGTCTGATGGGGTCTGGGTACGTAGGCAATCATCAGGCCGTTCCCACAAACTGCTTTCTGGGGTTTGCTACAGCTTGCCTAGACACTACATAATTGAAGGTTGGCCAAAACGCAAGTGTGTGTATCAGTGAAAGAGAGAAAGAGGAAAAGAAAGATGCAGGTCACTCAGATAACAAGCCGTACAACAAATCTGGCCCAGATACAGCACATCCAATGAAAGAATGCACTTCAAAGAGAGGAAGGGGAACATTTGTTTGTGTTTCATGGCCTTTGTTTACAGCAGAGTATAGAGAAGGGGGAGGGGCTGAAAGATAAGAGGTCTTGGTGATGTCATCGGTAAAGGAAAGTCGTTTCAGAGGCGGAGCAAGTGATGTCATTTTACTGAAAGATGACGTTTTTTTTTTTTGATGAATCAATGATGAATCGTGCACAAAGTGTATTAACAAAGCAAATTGAAAAAAGTACTGATTTTAAGCAGGAAATGCCCTTTAAGACTATTTAAACCATAAGCGCCCAAAGGTCTAAAGAGGTTTTAGTTGTACCAGCTTAACCACTTTAAAGGGCAACTGTGGTAAAGGCCTCGTCCTCCTCCCTGTTACCAAATAGCTCACATTCCTGCGCTCACAAAAGCCATACTGGGGGTGCGTGCTAGTGCCGTAAGTGTCTGTGGAGTGCTTGAGAACACATTTTTAAAAAATGTAAGAGGGATGTTCACAACAAAGGGCTTTGAAATGTTTGATGTTCTCATTGTTGATTTTACAGTTTTTTTTGCTTCAGTATTTTGACTTTCAGAGAAAATATTTTAATTTTGTCAATATGTCATTATATTCATTCGTTATAGTCCATTTCACTCAATTTTATTTGATGATAATGTGCAAAATGACAAAAAAAAACGTGTGTCAAACAGAAACAGTCCCAACTTCAAATTTCCACAGGGTTCCTACTCTTTTGGTTTAATGTCTTTTCATGATTTTTCAATACTATTTTTTGATAAACTAAACTGCTCATTATAAAAATGTCATGATTTTTAAAGCTTTTACTAATTTTTCTATCCAATTACATTTACATTTAGTCATTTAGCAGATGCTTTTATCCAAAGCGACTAACAGATAAGGACAATAGAAGCAATCAAAACCAACAAAAGAGCATTAAACCAACAACAAACATTAAAAACATTTAATTAAATATTTAAGTGCTAAAAAATATGTTCATTAAAGAAATGCATTACTTATAAATGGTTTTCCATTAGAATTTAATGTAAATTTTTATTAATTATATAAAATCACTTTTTTTTTCTAATTTCCAGGTTTTCCTTGACCTTGGCAATTTTGAAATGTATAAATAGTGTATTTTTAATATCTTGCAGTGTTAATGATATACATTACAGTGCCAACTGTATACACTAAAGGAATAGTTCACCCATAAATGAAAATTAGATGAGTTTGTTTCTTCATCTGAACAGATTTGGAGTAATGTAGCATTACATCACTTTCTCACCAATGGATCCTCTGCAGGGAATGGGTGCCGTCAGAACGAGAGCCCAAACATAATTCAGAACTCTTCCTCCAGTGAAAAAGTCTATCTCCTTTTGTTGTATCACATCAAAATCCACTGACATATTTGTTTAGAAGTTTTTTTTTTTGCTTGTAAACAGTGCTTGATCTGTGCAGATTTCTCTCTTGATTCAGATGAGACGACTTTTTCACTCGAGAATTATGGACTTGTATTTTAACCAGAAGCAACAGTTTAAAGCTAAAAATGCCTTAATGAAGAGCTTTTCTCTTCACAAAACATTAATTGGTGGACTGGAGTGGTGTGGATTATTGTGATGTTTTTATCAGCTGTTTGGACTCTCATTCTGACGGCACCCATTCACTGCAGAGGATCCATTGCTGAACAAGTGATGTAATGCTACATTTCTCCAACTCTGTTCTGATGAAGAAACAAACTCATCTTGGAAGGCCTGAATAAATTTTCAGCTTAATTTCATTTTTGGGTGAACTATTCCTTTAATTCAAATAATTTTATTGTCACAGTTTTTGATCTCGCCACAAAATCTTTGCCAACCAAAATTTGACCCACTAATTTCACATCACGAGGTTTAACACTGATTGTTCTTTGTTTTGCATTAAAAAAAGTTTTTCTTCTCCAAAGACAGAAACGTAAAAGCAGATGTCAAATATGCAGTCAAATTGTGCCTGCGCTGCTCAACCCTAGCTTGAAGCCTCACATGAATCAAACACGTGAGTGCAGCTGGGGAAATGTGGTGACCTGTAATGACTGTCGAACCTCTAAATGTGTTTGAATATGCGTGCCCGCCATATCACGGCTCCGAAACGCCGTAACGGCATCATAGGGAAGTGATTAGAGTAAAAACACACATCATGTTGAAAACTTGATGTAGTGCATGAGATGGAAAAGAGGGATAAAAATGAGAAAATAGACAGGGAGGAAAAGGACAACTAAGGGCTATTTATTATTCCGAGGAAAAACAAACTGATCTGGGTTGCTGATTAGCCGAAAGTGAGAGCGGAGAGCAGGTTAAAATCACCGCCTACGATTTCTAGAAAGAACACATGGTGAGAGAGCGAGTTTGACTATACATATTGGTCACTAGTGTTGTCAAAAGACCCGGTATTTCGGTACCAAGTCGGTACTAAAAACATGAAAACGTTACGGTACCAGGTTTTTTTAAGTACCGGTGGTACCGAGTACCCGGTCAACCCGGTTCTTGATGCGCTATCCGAAAGCTATCCTCTTCCAGTGTTGCCAAGTCCGTGGTTTTCCCGCGGAATTGGGATGCTTTAACACTGTTGCCGTGGGTTGTTTTTCATGTCCGAAAAACGACCCCATTAACGTGATATTTAGCTCCTGGAATGTAAATTTTACCAGGGGAACCCCGCCAAAATATGCGTATTTTATCCTCATAACGCGATTTTTAACGGGGAACCCCCCGAAATGAAATTGGTACCGAGAACCGTGGATTTTCACTGGTATTGGTACCGAATACTGAAATTTTGGTACCGTAGAATTGGCGCAGAATTGCCGCCCACCACAAATTGGTTCATTCATCACACACTAGTGCGACATCGGTAGTCATTTTGAGACAGAAAACACTCCTCCCTGAAATAAAACAGCTGTACGCCACAGACAATGTTGACAATATTGATGAAAACGTTATTACAGTAAGTTGTGTTTGTGTGTGTGACTGTGTTTTTGGCTTATCTCACTTGTACTGTGCCGGTGTGGTCGGTCACTGTTCCCAGCTGGACGTATTGCACCTGAATATCGTTACCCTGGAGTGGAGACACGTCAACCCCGCCGGTCCCGTCGGTCGACGCCACTGCGATGAGCTGCGGTCCTCTTAGAACCTAAGAAATAGGTGGGAAAAATGAGAAACATTAGCACTATGCTAACATTTGAGGAAACAACTACACCGAATGCTTATTTATCTGTGGGAAAGCGCTCTAGACACAACACAACTGCTAAATTTCCCAACATGGCTACATGGTTGTAGTAAGAATCATTCCTAAGTGGCGATGTGACTAATTTCGGTGACTAATGCTGTCTTACATGTGAGCGGTGTGACTGTCAAATTGAAATCAGACAGTAAAATGCAGTGCAAGCTGTTCTCTAAACTACCAGCACAAATATTCTTCATATGAAGAATCAAAACAACCAGATGAGCTCCAAATTATCATCCGTTCAAATTTCATGTCGCTAAGCTTTCTGGGTATGCGGTTACTTTTGCAATGATTTTCTTTTATATTGAGATGTGCATCAGTGTGGTTATTGTTAACTACAACTAAAATTAAAACGATTAAAAATGTTTTTTGGAAATCGAAATAAAGCTGAAATAAAGTATTAAATGAGAAGCACAGGTTTTTTTTGTATTAGGATCTAAATAAGAGTGACAATGTCAAACTGAAACAGATAACTTCCCACAATTTTTTTTTTTTAATAATAAATCAATAAAAACAACAAAAAAAAGTTTTTCAGGACCTTTCTTAATTTATCCTTAATTACATTCTTAATTTACTTTATTTATTTAAACTATTTTTTTTTCTAGGTCTGGAAATTACAATCATCTTTTTTTATATTTAGTCACAGTAATAGCTACAATATATATTGAAATATTTTGCAGAGCTTTTTGATTGTATTAAACAAATGCAATCATCTTTTTGTGTTTTCCACTGAATGGTAGTTATTCTCTAACGCTGCTTCTAGGATCAAATTTTCCTCAAAATGTTATTTATGAGTGGAAGGTGAGATACTGATGATAATTTGATTTTAATATGGAAATGATATACATCCATGATTATCTAAGTATGTTCCAATACCTTGTGTAAATGAATCATTGTGCTTTCCTTTCTAAAACTATTACCGCTTTCTTCCTTGCTTCAATCCACACTGATTGTTCCTTTCTAACTTTCACCAGCATATCCATCATCCCATTGTTTAAACAAAATTACATTTCTCACGGTTTACATTTTAATCTGCTAATGTTTCCACTCATTCTATAGCTTATGCAACTGCCTGTCATAAACCTCACTAATGTGCACCTGTTTTTCAGCTCTTCTTTTCACATTGTCAGAAAGTTCAAAAGTCCAACATTGCATACAGTATGCAAACACTGTCAAATGAGTAGGAAGTCCAGTACTAAGTATTTACAATACAGTAGGCGAACAACATCTGGATGATGTACAACATCTGCTGGATTCTGTAGTATGCAACTTTGAGACACTTTGCTATCCCATAAAGCAACTGGAGCTGAAGCCAAACACACTATGATAGTTCATCGATTCGGACGTAGCCCAAAGGGAGGAATTGTTTTCCATTCTCATAGTAACAGGCCAATCAGGATTGTCAGAATGCATTTTGTTTGCTGCGAGTCATTAAGCAACTGTTTCAGGATTTAAAGAGCAGGTCATATGGGTTTTTGAAAAATATCTCTTTTGCAGTTTATAACGTAGCTATCCTTAAATGAAAACAATCTGCAAAGTTGTTAATCAAAAAAGTACATGATAAATAAAGATATTGTCTCTCAAAAGAGAGTCGATTTCTGAACCGCCTTAACGAGTCGTCATATTTTTGAATCTTTTGCCTGTTACCGGTATACGTCACTGGGTAACACATTTGCATAATCCCCGCCTGCCCGCGAAATACAGAGCGTCTTTTGTCTGTCGTTCTTCAAAAATTACAGTAGACATATTTTGGTTTACAAACTGTATCGTTTCATCAGTTAGTCACGTTAGCACTCGGCTAACGTATCCACCATTATTGTTTTAAGTGTTCACAGTTTAGCAGCTAAACTTTAGCTGTGGGCATTCGCTTGCATAAGTGTTTTGCATTTTATGTCATTATTATAAGAACGGATTGGAGCACTATATTATTGTTCTATGTAAAGGTGCTTTGTCAATGGTAGCGCTCGCTAACTTGCTCAAGGACTCCTCTCTGTGCCAATCACAACAGGCTTGGCCAGCTGACCAATCAGAGCAGAGTAGGCTTATGGAAGGGAGGGGTTTGCTCCGAACTTGCTTGGAACGAACCGTTTAGAAATCATTGGCAAATGACTCTAATATTAAATGTATATTCTGAGAAAATTACAATGTTTTCTGACCTTAGATGCATTTAAACCTGTTGTAGGGGACTCCAACACAATATTAGGACACTTTAGAATACCATATGACCTGCTCTTTAAAGGTGCAAAACTATGTGATATAATATAAAACTGAGAGCTTGAATGCTCTTGCTTGATTGCCAAGTCTGAAATTTCGATCTGGCGTTTAAGTGGTGTTGCAAACCTAATTCAAATCAAGCCAGGGATTTACTACATCCAAACGCTCATCATAACAGCCCCATGGAAGGCCTAGTTTCCAGCTGAGCTCTCACAAACACATCTCCATCCCCTGCCAACTCGTCGCAAAACAGGCACATAAAAGCAAAAACACTTGCATGTTAATGCATGATCGCATACTCTCGCACATCGTGTTCGAATGCCTGAACACACTGATTACACATCATCTGACCACTAAAGGCGCTCTGATGTGGTCACAATGGTTTTGGATCCTCCGGCTTCCCTTCAATTACTGGCACTAGTCTTCAACCTGAACTGTGAGTCAGTAATTTCTCGATTGCACCAGTTGACCGTTTCCACATGCACGGCGTTCATTCAAAAACGGCCATGTGGGATAGAATTTAAATGAAACGTGAACTTCAGACTAAACACTAATCGTTAATCATTACAACTCTGCTGCGACTCCATGTGGTGACACCTCTCCGGTTCGTCTTGACAACATCAGCGCCTCAGAGCACAGTGTGGGCATAAACAATCAAATCTGAGTCTCCCGAGTGGGAACAGAACTGCCATGCACTCCCAATTAGGAGAAAGAAAATCTGCTGCGCTGCATAAAAATCCCACAATAACCCCAATTTCAGATCCAGTTCGCCCCCATCCCGGATTCTAGCGCAGACGATGACTTTGAAGTCGTGAGTCAGTGGCATGCTTAGATGCCCACCATGTCTCCAACGGCATCGAGTAAAGATGCCAATTTTGCCACAACGACTCCTTTTTTCGAATAGAAGATGATGTTGCCAGTCGAATCATGGGGTAATAATTAGAGTGTATGATTTTGAGTTGGTTTAAATGGGATGAAACATTATTGAAAAATGCATTTCATACATACAGTGACTTGAATACAGCTCTTCTATGACAAGCATTTTTGTTCATTTTGAAATGGGGGTCCTGTTATCATGATGAAAAAAGCCTAATTAAAAAACGGGTTTGAAATCTTGAAAAGTCACATGGTGTGACTAACATGCAGAAAAACAAAAAGAAACAAAAACCAATTAAAAAACAAAAACTATACAAAACAAAAACAAAACAAAGCAAGAAAAAAAAAATAAAAACAAAAAACTAAACAGAACCAATGAAAAAACAAACAAACCAAACAAAACTACAAATAAACCCAAATAAAAAACTAACTATACAAAACAAAAACAAAATAACAAAAACAAATCAAACAATGCTAAAATATAATAAATGAATAACAATAAAAAAAAAAAAGAACTAGGCTAAACAAAAACAAAACAAAACTAAACCAAACAAAAAACAAAACTAAAATCAAAACAGGAAAATTATATCTTAGGTAGGACTCCTGCAGACCCTCATAATGGTGTCATTAAGTCTATTAAAATAACAGATTTTTTTTATGATGAGGTAAGGTTAGTAAAATGTCGTGTTGCGGCTCCCTAAAACCTAATGGTATTTATTAATAATGAATGCTATTTTTTTTTTAATTTGAACACTTTTTGGAAAATAATGATTGTGTACACTCACTTGTGTGGCAGGTGTAAGGAAAATATGTTATTATTTTTACTTGATGGCTGCACCACATGACAGTCACTGCATTAACATTTTGGTCAAAAATGGTATGAATGTTTTTTTTGAAAACCACATTAAACCATTTTCTTTATCATGGACACTTGTGTGTCACTGACTCATTTACTCTGGTAAACAAAGAATAGCATGAGAACAACCGAAGGATGGCCCAGCAGGTCTTAAACACAAACACATGCACAAGCACAGAGATATGCACACACAAACATCTGAAGTTATTGGGAACAAGAATAATTCACAGCTGAGGGACGTCTTTTTACATTTCCCATTTCTCATACCATCATTTATCTGAACCAGAAAACTGCAAAGACACACACAGGAGGCACCAACTTAAAACTTGGATACTTTCTCATGCAGGCAATCATGAAAACAATCAAATAAAGCGTGCCACTCACTGAGCATCCATATGACATATCCATATGAAACCATCCGTCAGGCCTCATAAAAAAAGGAAATGCACTTTTTCCGCATTAAAAAGTGCGTTCTGGGGATTTACCCATTGAATAACACTTGTCAAAGCAAGCACGGCTACAACAACAGGAATTTTAAAACTGCAAGTGAGGTTTGTTTGTATGCTCAGCTGTGCAACTTAACACAATGAGAGTTTATGATGCTGGGAGAATGTCTGCGATCGGATAGCAATGTAAACCCGTTCTCATCGCTTGACTTCCGGGCCTCGCAACTGTTCTCAAGACAACTCTCCACTCCACCGAGCATGGGAACGTGGTTCCAACACAATCAAATAAAGTAAAGCTAATTCAAAACACGCATCACATCAGAGACGCTCTTGGAGTCGTCCAAAAGTCGCTACAGGTCTTGCCGAATTGTTACGAGGCTGATGTGTCACCAATCTTGGCCAGAAAAAGGTGAAATCCAGAGCCAAAGCAGTCATGATGTCACAACGTGCATTCGGAGTTGAACCGGTGTGTTCACATGAGGTCTGCTGACTTTGACAGAAATGAAAGGCCTCAT